CTGAAAATCATAAATTAATGGTGCTAGGATGGTGGAAACTCAATCCAATCGTGGTGTGCAGAAGTGAGGGCTTTGGGAACTAGATTGATGAGGCAGAAAGGGTGAAGCCCCCGTATGAATTCTAGGAGTTTTATAAGAGATCATGCGACGTAGATGATGAAATTGCTCCCAACAGCTGTTTCCTGGATTTTCAGGTGATTCTTCTGTATGCACTGGACCAGCCACTTCCCTTATCAGTTGCCAGAGCAATGGGGCTGTCCTGTCTTGGACTGTGACTCCCTAAATCCATGAACCAAAATAACCTCTTTCATAAGTAGCCCTGTCTCGTGTTTAGTTACAGTGATGAAAATCTCACACCTGAGAATAAGGTTACCAACTGAAATATTTTGGAAAAACACAACTTTAGATTCCAAATAGCCTACTTCCCTTAATAACCTATTGTACATTTGACAGTGAATCTTTCTTCTCAAGCACCATTTCCTTACATCTGAGTTATTTAAACAACTGACAGTATACATAATGAATATGAGTAGCGGCGGGACATAATGTAAAGGCCACGAACTTGAGAATTCAAAAAAGAAGCCCGAGTTGAATGCCTTCTGGTTCAAAAATACATTGTCGTCCTGTATTTTACTGCAACTTTATCCCAGAGAACAACTAAATCCAGATACCTTCTATTTTAAGGCTGCATTTAGTTTGCATGTCTCTCCCAGATCTCCAATTCAAAAAGCCCTAAATATTCCTTCTCCCTAAAAAGCCATGCACACAGTATGAAGCTCTGGATATAAGGAGGTAGGTGCCAGGCACCTCGGTGCTGCCTTTTCCATGGGAATTGACTTCTCTTTTGGATCTGAGGTGTTAGAAACACCTGAACTAGTCTACTTACATGTATTTTTGAATGTGTGGATTCACTAATCCATTAATAAAATGCGATGCCAACTTCTGTTTTATGTGATGTTCCAAGTGTCAAGGATAACCCCACTGACCCTCAAAATTATTAAGACAATTGTCAGTGTTTATTCAATGTTCATGTGAGGTTTCCATCTCTAATGAAGTCACTATGATCTCAAGTACTCTAAAAAATAAGTTTACTCAGAAATGTAAGGGAAGAAAGAGATGTTTTTGTTTCAGGGCTTGTGTCTGATGCAAATACTGGCATCCCATATTGGAGCACCACTTCCAGGTCCAGCTCCCTACCAATGTACCTGGGAAGACAGCAGAAGATGCTCCAAGTAGTAGGGCCCCTGCTACCCTTGTAGGAGACTTGGATGGAGTTTCTGGTTCCTGGGTTCACCATGGATCTAACCTGGCTATTGTAGTCACTTGGGGAATTAACCAGTGGATGGAAGATTTCTCTCTGTCTCTCTGTCTCTGTCTCTGTCTCTGTCTCTCTCTCTCTCTCTCTCTCTATTACTCTGTCAGATAAAAAAGAAACATGTTTTGTTTGAATATTTTTTTTGTTTGCCTCCATTCTCCCAAGTAAGTAAAGCCCTGTTTCATTTGTATAAAAAAATTTCAAATTTCCCAAAATGCAGGAAATTCCCCCTGAGGAGAGAATTATGCAAGAGTTTTCTGAGACAGATTTCAGGAATTCAGGCTGCACATTTTTAACACTTCTCTTTACTTGTTTCAATTTTTGAGAGACAGGTCTGTAATAACTGATAATTTCTTTCTCTTTCTGTAGCTGAGAAGTGTGGCAGCATTTACCACCTTCTCTCTCTCAGTCATAAACGCATTTTAATGGACTGACATGTGCTTAATAATACAGGCCGCACCTGGAGTCTTTACAGCAAAGAGCCGCCAGGGCCTGTACTATATTAAAACTGCATTTTTGACCTGGGGCCTACAAGTCTCTGTACTCAAACATCACGCTGATTAGAGAGAAACAGCCCAGTGCCAGCTCACATTTTTCTTCTTTAAATAAGGAGTATTGAGGTTTAACTTTTATAACTCTGAACATGAAAAATATTATAATTCTAAGTGATTAACTCACCTCCTTTACTGGAAATCTAATAAATTTTGCACAACTCCTCTGACTGCACAAATTTGCTCATGGCTTTTACGACTTCATAGAATGAGGCACCTTCTACCTCTAGGTCTTAAGTGAGAATGGAAGGATAGGGAATTTGTTAAATAGCTTTTCAACATTGCTGAGTACTGGAGACATGCTAATGTCATTTAATGGACATCATAGTCCTGCTTATTTATTTTATTTGAAAGGCAGAGACAGATAGAAAGTGAGCGACAGAGACAGAAAGAATGCTCCCATCTACTGTTTAACTCTCCAAATAATCACAACTGCTGGGTTTGGGCCAGAATGAAGCTGGGTGTTGGGAACTCAACCCAGGTCTTCCAAGCAGGTGGCACAGACCCAAATACTTGAGCCATCACCTGCCACCTCTCAGGATGTGTAGTAGCAGGAAGCTGTACTCAGTAGCAAAGCCAGTCTCGAACCCAGGCATACTAATATGGGATGTGGGCATCATAGGTGATGTCTTAACCATGATGGCAAACATCTATCCCCAACATTTTTTAAATCTCATGTGACAGGCAGTCTCTAAGATGATCAAAAACAATTCACATTTGATAACATTCATGACTGTACAAAGGCACTTCCACCTGAACATAGGCTGGACTTCATTATCCACTTAGAATGAGTATACTATGACAGAAGAGTGATAGGACACTACCTCCAGTACTGGGTGTTCTCAGTCAGGTGATCTTTCTCACCTTCTCCAGGCTGCCTTCTGGAGAGGTCCATGAGAGTGAACTAGGCAATGAACCTCCTGAGGTTACCAACAGTCATGTGAGTTAGCCCAGGAGAAAATGTTCGCCCCATTAAGCCCCATCAACAACTCCACTGCAATCTCAAAAGAGGCCCTGAGCCAAGATCACACAGCCAAGTGGCCTATGCATGTCTTACCCATAGAAACTGAGACAAAGGAAATATTGCCTTTGATCACAGATTTAGGTGTTATCTATTATGCAGCTATAGATAATGAATCAACTCCTCTTTGCATATGAAAGAGAACTGAGAAGTTTCTCCAGGACAACAGAAAAAGAGACTTCAAATGTATCTATCTGACTCCCAAATCCAGGATCTCCTGCTTTGCCAGGGATTTAATTTGCCCTTTTTTGTTGTTGTTATTCCCTTATTGGCATTTGAGGCTCTCCATGGTCTGATCAGACCTTTACTATTAAGCCACTTTTTATTTTTAGTATTTAAGACAATTTCCATTAATCTACTTGGATAATAAAACTCAAAGTCCAGTAGTAGAAGACAAGTATTTAAATCAAAAGGGAAAAAAAACACTGTCATGTCATCCATGATAGATGATGTTCCAGGGTGCACAGCAGGGGATCTGAGGCAGACTCATGACTCAGGGAAAGCTCTCAAAGGACCTGTTGACCTATCATCAGGTGTCAGTCCCTAGCACAGCCCTTGGCATGTGGTTTGACCTCCACTAATGTTTGTCGACCTAGAAAGTACTGCAATTTGGAGGACAGAAGACAGTGAGATGACAAGTGGAGGCAGAAAAAGTCACTTCAATGCTCTATGTTGATCTAACAGCAGCTGGAAGAGTCAGAGTCTTGAAAACCATGACTTATTCTAAGATATGTTCCATGTTGGTGTATGTTAAGGTCTATCGTACATTGCAATAAAAGTCAGTGCTTCCCAAACAAGTTTTGGGGCTCCTACTGTTAAAGCAAGTTAAACCGCCTCTTGTGAACACTGGTGTCCCATATCAGAGTGCCAGTTTGAGTCTCAGCTGCTCCACTTTTAATCCAGCTCCCTGCTAATGTGCTTGGGAAGGCAGCAGAAGATGACCCAAGTGCTTGGGCCCCTGTCACCCATGCAGGAGACCTGGATGGAGTTCCTGGCGTCAGACTGGCCCAGCCCCAGCTGTTGTGGTCATTTGGGGAGTGAGCCAGTGGATGGAAGATGTATTTCTCTCTCTGTGTCACTCTGTCATTTAAATAAATAAATAAATACATCTTTTTAAAAAAGTGTTTGCTATACCCAGATGTCATATGCATTACTTATTTAATTCTTTCAAAACACACACATATATTTAACTATGTATATTTAATATATATATAATTTTATAATATGTTTTTAAAAGATTTATTTACTTATTTGAAACGTAGAGTTACAGAAAGGGGGTGGGTGGGGATCAACCTTCAACCTTCTGTCTGCTGGTTCACTCTTCAAATGGCCACACTGAACAGGGCTGGGCCACGCTGAAACCAGGGATTCGATTTGGATCTCCTCTGCGAGTGGCAGGAGCCAAAACCTCTGAGCCATCTTCTGCTGTTTTACAGGCTCACGACCAGAGAGCTAGATTGGAAGTGGAACTTCTGGGATCTGAGCAAAATCTCACAGGGGATGCTGCTATCATAGGAGGAAGCCTAACCCTCTGTGCCACCATGTTGATCCCTAAAATATGTTTTTTTAAGCTCGTTAATGTTTCCTTGAGACAGAAGAGAGGGCTGTATGAATTTCCAAGGTGATGTGACTCGAGAGGAAAACACAGACTTGTCAGCCAGACACATGCGTGTTGAAAGCTCAGCTCCATCACTCAGGAACTTGTAAGTGTGGAAGTCTTCCATGGCTACATGTCCTCATCTACAAAGCAGCAAATATTCCCTTCCCTGAGCCAGCATGTTGAGGAGTCCATACAGCACAGGTCCAGTCTGAGGAAGCTGTAGCAGGATGCTCTGTCAATGATCTGCCGTACACTAGATATTCCTGGGTAGGAATTCTTAATCCCACATGTCTGGTGAGGATGCTGATAGATAAGGAAATTTAGGCATTTGCTAAAATTCACCTAATTTGAAATTTCCTATCTTTTTAACCCTAATAAGAAAATAAAATGCTGCTTCTACAGACATGGACACTGGGTCTTCCTGCATGCCTTGAGTTGGACACTGTATGGGTCAGAACCTCCCTTCTCAACTTGGTTGAAGAAACCAGCTTAGCAGACATCAGCACACAGTACCTGTGAGGATTTCGGTGACGCGCTCAGTCATTTTCTGGATCAGGAGTCTCAGGATCCCGCCCTCCAGGCTCAGCAGCAGGGTCCCTGAGCCCTCAGACAGCTCTGTGGACAGAAGCACACCATCCTCGTTCCACGTTCGAAACTGGAAACTCACTGAGAGCCCATCAATTTGGGGGGTGCCAGGCAGCAACAAATAACTGCTGCTGGAGTTGACAAATGTGATGGGAACAATTTGTGGTTCGGAGCAGGAAAAAGTGACATTGCCCTGGAAAACAATAAAAAATCAAACATATATAAGCCATTTTTTATTCTGCATTCTGACAGCTGATATAAACAACCACTTGGAGCTGACCTTAATTTCAGGATCATTCCACATTCAGCTGTGAGATCTTAAAGGGGGGGAAAAAGTCAGCTTTGCTCAGAGACATCCACGGTTGTTTTTTCTTCCTGTGTGAAGGATCACAGTGCTATCTGTGAAGAGGGCCATATGAGACTCCAGGAAGGGAGGATGGTGGGACATGAACATTTTCTAGGGAATTTAAGATGTAAAAATAATTACACTCGCTCATCACATAAATCCGTATGGCATGCCAACCATGTGCCAAGCGTTTGGGACGGTTTTTAAAAAGATGCACGTGGAAAAACTTTGTTACACAGTGAAATGTGCTAAAAGAGAGACAGAGCCCAGCTCTCATGGGAGCCTGGCAGAAGCAATAACGAGATAAGCAAAGGTTTAGCGAGGAGGTGAGGTTTATATGGAACGAGATCGGGGGAGCCGAGGGGGTGATTGAGCCCTAGCCAGGATGAGTCTGTGAGCAAAGACTTGGAGAAATTAGCACAATGACATTCCTGGAAAACTGAAGACACCGTTTCATTTGCAAGTAATAAGTAGGGTAGGAAGGTCCAGGGAATATGAAGGAGGAAAGGTTAGGAAGGTGATTACAAACTGGATGTGGAAGCACTCTGATGCTTGCAAAATAGCTTCCTTTCAAAGTTTAGAAACAGTCGAGTACATGGGCCACAGTTTCAATTTGCTGAGAGTATTTTCAGTAACAGGTGGTGCAGATTGGGAAATCCTGGACTTGGGAATACAAGGTGTGTACACAATAGAAGCACAACGAAGAAGAAAATTATTCTTTGTATAAGCAAGGGTGGAAATGAGTCCACGTTGATCTGAGAATAACTAGGGTTAATTTCTACATCAGGAAGTTATGGGAAATTAAGGAATGAACACATGTGCCCACCTGGGCCATGTGCTTGGGTCACTTCCAATAGATAAGTCAGGAGAAAATCTTTAAAATTGTGAATATGTATTCTATCATGAAAACCATTTGGAATTCATATTGCAAACTCCATAGCCAGCCACATCCTATTTCCCATTCCTATCATTTGTCTCTTTTATGTTCTGGGCATTCATGTTCACAGCCATGCAGTGAGTTGGTTTGGGTAAGCACATCCAAATAGCCACGGATATTTTGTTTCAAGGCCACTGAACACCAGCTTTTGCACAACACCCTGGCTCAGCCTTTTTCAGCTTCTCCCATAGCCAGCATCGCTATGCAAAAAAGTTAGGGCTTCTACACTACCTTGAGTGGCTGCCTGAGGAGTGGGAGTTTGTCCCAGTGGTTCAAATGCCTACTCCCACATCAGATTATTTAGATTTGATAACCAGTTCCATCTCTCAAATCTAGCTTCCTGCCAATGCAGATTCTAGGAGCTCATGGAGATGACAACTGATTGTTTCCCATCCCAATTGGGATTCCTACATCCTATATCCCAGTGCCTGGAATCAAGTTCCATCTGTACTCCTGATTCCAATGTCCTGCTATTGTACACTCATGAGAGAGAGCAGGATAGAGTTCCTGGCCCCTGGCTTTGGTCTTGGCCCAGCCCCGGATGTTGCAGTCATATGCGGAGATGAGTTATCTGATGGGAGCTCTCTTCCTCTTTCTGTTTCTCTGTCTCTTTCAAAAAATAAAAACTATAAAAGAGTAATCAAAGGAATGTCTACCTGAATTCAGTTTTCCACTGAAGTGGCAAGATGCAGTGTAAGATAACTATATGACTCTCAGTCCTAGTATTTCTCACCCTTAAATTCAACTATAAAAACCCCTTTCCCAGAAAAACATTCCTAGGTCAGCATCATATGCATTTATGAGTCTTTTATGGCTGAAAACAATTTTTACCAATAGTACAATTCTAATGATTAACTCTTCAATTGTGCTACCACGAGCATATTCTCACATGAATTCTTGGTTGCAGTGATTCAGGTATTTTCTTCTCTTTAGGATACAGCTCCAGAAGCTCGTTAATGAGTCAAAGGGAAAAGCACTGCTAATTCATCAAGAAATTGCTTGCAGTTAATACTGCCCACCATGACAGGCAGTAGGCTTAGCATTTACATATACATCTTGTGAATTGTGCACAACATGTGCAGAATGTGTTATTCTCTCTGTTTCAAGAATGCACAGCTGGCTGTAGAGAAAGCATGTGACTTAATGACAGCCATAGACCTTCCTCACAGGGACAATGGTGGAAGACAAACCCATACTTGTCTGATGCAGAGCACTTTTATGTTTGGCCACCATCTCTGATACCTCCCTCCTCTACCCTGGGTGCCACCATGTTTAAAGGTCCACCAACCTGTTTATGATACATTATAGATGTTTCAATTTGCATGTGTGCATTTGTACTGAGTTTCTTTTCAACAATAAAAACAGGATAAACCTGGCAGCTGTTAACTACAGTTGCAACCCAGCTCTATCATGGGCTGGTGTGACCAGTCTTTGCACTTGATGGTGTGCCACAAGAAAGTCATTTGCTGAAAGGGCTTCCAGAAGATTGTATAAATCAAACTCTTCTTTCCTGAAACAATGACATGGTCTGAGACATAGATGTAAATTTATCCTCCAATAATATTCTCTTTTTTAATTTTAAAGGTAGAGTTAGAGACAGTGAGAGAGAAAGAGAGAGAGAGAGAGAGAGAGAGAGGTCTTCCTTCTGTTGGTTCACTCCCCAAATGGCCACTACGGCCAGTGCTGTGCTGATCCGAAGCCAGGAGCCAGGTGCTTCCTCCTGGTCTCCCATGCAGGTGCAGGGCCCAAGCACTTGGGCCATCCTCCACTGCCTTCCTGGGCCACAGCAGAGTGCTGGACTGGAAGAGGAGTGACCGGTACTTGAACCAGTGCCCATATGGGATGCCGGCACTGCAGGCAGAAGATAAACCAAGTGAGCCATGGCACTGGCCCCCCAAAATTCTTTATGAGCAACCTATGTAACCTACTTACACATCTTATTTTTACTTTTGCATGGATATTTTAAATTTCTTCCTAATGACACTTATCTTAGCTCCCAGTGGAATCTGTGCTCCCTGAATTGCAATTCTAAGACCCCAAATAAATGTCTATTTGCTTAACAGATCATCTGAGACTCTTTGGATGACAAAAACATACCCACTGATGGCCAACTAACTGTGGTAGGGCTGTTATGTGGACGAAGTAAAATGACGGATGCTCTCCAGAGGAGAAAGGTTAAGAGATAGTAATAACTATTTTTCTTTTTACTTTCTGAGGTCATTATCACCTCTTGTGATGACACGAGTGCAGCTGTATTCAAAGTTTCAGGGGGAATAGTTTGAAGTGGTAAGGATGATGAAGGCTTTGAAAACTGTAGGTGATCAGGGCTGCACTGTGGCATAGCCGGTAAAGCCATCGCCTGAAGTGCTGGCATCCCATATGGGCACCAGTTCAAGTCCTGGCTGTTCCACTTCTGATCCAGCTCTCTGCTGTGGCCTGGGAAAGCAGTAGAATATGGCCCAAGTCCTTGGGCCCCTGCACCTGCATAGAAGACCTGGAAAAAGCTACGGGCTCCTGGTTTCAGATCAGTACAGCTCTGACTATTGTAGCCAATTGGGGAGTGAACCAGTGAATGGAAGACACCCCCCCACCCCCGTCTCTCTTTCTCTCTCTGTGTAACTCTGACTCTCAAATAAATAAATAAATCTTAAAAAAAAACTGTAGGTGATCATGAAAATTCCTCTTTCCCTTCTTACTTCAAAACTCAAGTTCAGCTCACCTGAGCCCTCTTCTCAGTTCTCCTGCTTTAGAACCATGGAAGGTTGGCCTCAGATCAGTGGAGGACTCCAGGCACTGAGGTGCTGTCCTACTCAGTCAGTTCACTCACACCCTTTTCTCAGCTTCCCTTTCTTGCATTGTTTAAAGGGCCCAACTTTGCAGAGGAGCTCAGAAGTTAAGGCGCCCAAGGCCAGCACTGTGGCTTACAGAGTAAAACCACCACCTGCAGTGCCAGCATCCCATATGGGCACAGCTTCGAGTCCTGGCTGCACCACTTCCGATCCAGCTCTCTTCTATGGCCTGGGAAAGCAGTAGAAGATGGCCCAAGTGCTTGGGCCCTTGCACCCGCATGGGAGACTTGGAAGAAGCTCCTGGCTCCTGGTTTCGGAATGGCCACAACTCTGGCCATTGTGGCCAATTGGGGAGTGAATAGGCAGATGGAACACCTCTCTCTCTCTCTCTCTCCCTCTCTCTCTCTCTCTCCCTCTCTCTCTCTCTCTGTGTGTGTGTCTCTTCTTCTCTCCCTGTGTAACTCTGACTTTCAAATAAATAAATAAATCATTTTAAAAAAACAGAAAATGTGATACACACACACATACACACTGTGCAATACTACTCAGAATGAAATCTATCTTATGAGAATGAAATCCTATCTTTTTCAACAAAATGAATGCACTGGAAGCCATTATGCTCAATGAAATAAGCCAGTCTCAAAAAGACAAATACATGTTTTCTCTGACATTTGGCAATTAACATAGAATGCCAAAAACACATTGGAATGAAATGGATATATTGTGATATGATTGTTGTCTTTAGCATTGCTTATACTCCTCTGAAATTGTGGTCTTCTTACTTCTTACTTGTTGAATATATGCTCAGTGGTGAATTAAACCTGTGGATATAGGGTATATTGCAATTATGTTTTTGCAAAAACTGATGAAAGGAAGGGAGGGGAGGGAAGAAGGAGGATTGGGAGGAGGGAGAGAAGTGTGGTTGTCTGCCTGGAATTGTACTAATGGAATGTATGAAAGCTGTCCTCTTTTTATTAATTTTTGAAATGGCAAAAAAAAAAAAAGAAATCCCTTCTATGTCAAATATGCCCCAGTTTTCCAGGAGAATGTGTGTTCATCGCTCATCTCTCATGCCATAGCTGGTATGTGCTGCTTCAGCTGACATTCCCATCTCAGCTGTC